GTCAGATTGATGCTATGGTGGAAGCTGATAAAGTTACATACTTTATCGATGGTTTAAGAGGGCGGACCAAAGCTGAAGTGAGTTACAAGGCTCCAGCAACCCTAGCTGAAGCAATTACCATTGCTATCACGTATGACACAGCGTATTTTTCAACAACATCAGTAACAAATACAACGATTAATTCAACTAGCCGTCTGAACCAACTACATAATTTAGCGATCGAACGGGAACGAGTCACAACAAAATTGAAAGAAAATGCTATCAAGATGAAGATTCAGTATGATAAACATGTGAAACACACTGATCAGTTAAAAACAAATGATTGGGTGCTTGTAAAGCATGAACAGAGGAAGAAGATGCATCCGTATTGGTTAGGACCATTCAAAATAAGAAAAGTACTTTCTCTCGGAACTTTTCAGCTTGAGGACGTCAGCGGACAGATAAAACCAGATTTAGTCCACCGAAATAGACTAAAACTAGCATTGCACGCCACCACACCAGAAACTCGATAGTATAAACCAACGCGTCAAACATAAATCCACTATCTATATACTAAAGATCCACTATAAAGAGGGGGAGAGTGTTAACCAAGCACTATCCGAAACACCAGATTTTTCAAAAAATATAAAATCCGTAGCCAATTACTCGATGCATGCCTAGTTTTAAATGAAAAAACAATTCAACAGTATGATATGTATTTCAAACGAAAATAGATAATGCACATAAAAATAAATACAGTCGATAATAAGGAAAAATGAACGTGAAAACCGATTGTCAGTAATACATGTACTATGAAAATATAATTTTGTGATTTTGTCGAATTCATTGATTTAACGATTAACCATTTATTTATCAATCTTTTCAGTATTGTTCTAGTTCTGTTCAGTGCAATGGATAATGATATTATTTACAACTATTGGCTAACAATTAACAATTAAAACCTAAAAACTCACAGTTGCAATATCATCATCTTCGATTTATACTTTTATTTCTACATGTATATACATCTCTTGAAAAATGAAATAAATGTTCTAACAGCAAACAATGATACTGTCATAACAGTTGAAAAAACTGTTACAATCAAAAAGAGTCCTCATTGACATTTTGTTCGTCTTCATTCATCCTGATTTGAGCTTCCTCTTTCCTTTTTGTAGAACTATCACCATCATTTTCACCGTTTCACCTTTCCCCGTCAAACATTTCATCCCTTCTATAGGGATGAAATGTTATTCTAAACATCGACCACCTATAGCCGGTTTAAAAATTTCGTAACTTCAACTCAAAAACAAAATTATTTTTGAAAAACTTTTCTGATTACGGAAAATTTCAAGTAATCGCCGAGTGCCCGCGCATACGGATAGAGTTCGAATCAGCAGAGCATGAAACCTGAACGGAAATTCAGGTCTAAAAGATTATAAACCCCGCAGGACTCTTGTGTCGATGAATGAAAAAGTCTCTTATTTCACATGCACTTCTTATTTCATTGGAAAAGTGTAATTTATTGAATAAAAATTTTAGAGAAATACTGGTTCCTATTAGAGATATTCACAAGAAACAACTCTTTGTATAGTATAAAATAGTAAATATCTCGGTAACGGCAGTAAGAATTCCAAAAAAAAGAAAAAGAAATTTAGAAATCTGAATTTCTCTAAAATTTTCATTCATTAGATTGATTACACTTTCTAAATTGAACAAGAAGTGAACGAATTTAAGAGAGACTTTTTATTTTCACTCTACAAACTGTAATAAGACTAATTTTCATTAAACTCTTCAACGTTTAAGATATCAGCATTGTGTCAATGTAAAACATAAATTAATTATAATTTCTATTTGAAATGTTGTCGTACATTGTAAATAATGTTATGATCGTATTTTTATAATAATCACAACAACAATTTATTTTAATATAATGACATTAATAATGTCGTTATGTTAAAATATGTTCGTGCTAATGTGACATTAGGATAAAAATATTCTTGAAAACCTTGATTCTCCTCATACTATTTGATATTTTCTAATTAAAAAAAAAACCAACCAATCCTTCTTTTTCTAAGACATATGGTATACTATTTATTTGTCAACGTTCATACATATGATTTCGACACATTATATTTGGTCTTAGTCGTTCTTGTATGAAATGTGGCATAGTACAATGATCTAAATAACGTTGATTATTTCTCGTACTATAATGTTTTCTTTCACAGTATAAACGTTTTTGTGTAACATTTTGTTGTTGGAATGATGATGGTGAACAGAATTCATCATTTTTACACTTACATTTTAAACATATTTTTAATGATTTCATCACCGATTGTCTTAAACGACTTGATATAATTAAATAGATAATGGGTTGAAGGGCACAATTAAGAAAGACTAGAAGTCGAATAATATTTATTAACCATTGAAATAATAATTCATTTATATTTTCAAATATTTGATAGTGTAAAATAAATAATAAATTAAATAGACGATAGGGTAATAATAGAATAATGTAGAGAACAATGACAATAAATAGCATAATAGTCACTTGTAAACGTTGAGTATGTAATCGTCGATCATTGGGAGATGATAAAAGTGGTTGATTTTTGGTAGAATATAAAAATGGAACGTGATGAGAAGGATTTATTATATCACTGAAACCATTTTGATTGTGTGTTCGAGGATAGGAATGTCTTTTTGTTGAATTTGCAATAATAGTTGCCAATCCACGTGATGAACCACGTTGATTCGATGATAAAGAGCCAAGTGAAAGATGTTTTGGTAGTGATGTTTGCATTATGGTATTACTGGGAGTTTGAGTCGTAGTTATTGATGATAAATTATTATTATCATTCTTTTCTGTAAACTTTTTTGAAGCTAATATTAATCGTATGACTTGTCCATATATAATAATAAGAAATGTACCGGTAACTAAATATGTTAGAACAAGTATTAGAATTAAATATGTAATGGACCATATTTGATTGGCTTCTGTATCACAACTGGGCAATGTTGCATTTGTTGATGGAATAATGATATCGTCTGTACGATATTTTGTTATTGATACTAAAGGAATATTTATTAAGACAGCAAATAACCATGTTGCAAATATTGTTGTCTGATAATTACGAATTTGTTTTCGAACAAAATCACCCTTAAACAACAAAAGATTCTTATTGTACAAGTCAAAATTTATGTTCTACACTGGAACTTGTGATCTGGATGACTAATATTGTACAAAATTGTCTCCCATTTCTCAATCTGATGTATGTAATAATAGTTCTTCATTAAAACATACTTTATTCACTGCTGATATAAACTTTATTCTTTCAGAATACAAGTAGGCATGCATCTAGTAATTGACTAAGGACTTTATATTTTTTCTTTCATGAATTGCTTTGTTAAAAATTTTCTGACTTAGCAAGAATGTAGAGCAAACATTTCTCAACAATATGAGAAATTAGACAGCTCTGCATGATTTGTTTTGAGATTTTGTCAGTAATGCCCCCTAAGGGATTAACCGAGTACTTGATTATATGTCCTTGAGGTATCGCTGACAAAATCTCAAAACAAATTATGCAGAACTGTCCAACTTCTCATATTGTAGAGAAATGTTTGCTCTATATTATCGTTGCATGCCTACTTATATTCTGAAAGAATAAAGCTTATAGGCATTACTCAGTGCATGCAAGCGAAAAACATGCATTATATTTTCCTAAACTAAAACTATTGAAATATACAAAATCAGTATTGTACGAATAGAGATTCGAACACACGAAATTAACGTTGCAGTAAACTGCAACTCTATTGTTTAATTCAAATACTATTTATCCCCTCGATTTAGATTCTTCTTAAACCTTTCCAGTTTGGATACTTTGACGTATATGCCTCAAGGTTTTTCGGACTTATTGGCATTATCTAACTGAGAAAAAAAATTATACTAGTGATTGTACTTAGGCTTAAGTACTTTACTTGTATAATGAAGTCGGTACGTGCCGTTTTTAAGAGTAAATTTAGTTGTGAGTACTTGATAAGCACTTGTCAAGTAAAACTGCTAATACTTTCATCAATAACTTCGCAGTGAAAGAATCGAGTCGTCGTTTTTTTGAGTAGAAAAAAACGTTCTTCATCAAAAAATTACACGTGCGGAAACTGGAAAATGTTTAGAGTATGTACTGTACAGAGACCGAATCGGGTCAAACTCCTTTCACCCGACCCGAACCCGGTCCCAGATATTTTTCTTGGCCCGAATGAACTCCGAAAAAAACTATTTTACATAAAAAAAAAGGGGTGTAACTTTAGAGTTTTCGCAGAAAAACATATGAAAATTCGAAAATTTTCTCCGACGAGTCGAACTGAACTGGAAATATTTTTTTATTTGACCTGGACCCGATCCGAACATCGATTCTGGTACTCCGAAATGTCCTCTACAAACTGGTTAAAAAATGAGTTAGAGGATCTTCACTTAAAGTAGAACAGTGTCTTCTTCTACCATCATGAAAAAAATATTAAGATACTACTTGTGATAAATGCTGCTCTCACATGTGCGATTAAATAAAACTATTTATGACACGTATATGATTAGTCTATTCGTTAACAACTGCTTCGATATATGATGAAAATAGTTACTTGAAGAAATTTTGGTACACCAGCTGGATAACATCGATGTATTGTAAGTATCAGTAATGATTCTAATGCAGCATGCATTGATACTTGTTGAAGAAATGGCAATAAATAACCTAAAAACTTCATTGTATGAATAATAGGAATAATAAACTGGTTACTACGTACATGTTATTTTTCCTAGTTGAAAACCGGCTAGTGGTAATGCATCGTGTATTCGTTCTGGTAAACATGTCAATATTAAAATCACATCAGCAATATTGACATTAATTATATAATAATATATTGATGTATGCATGGATTTATCTTTTAATATTGCTATTATAACAAGACCACTACCCGTAAATGCTAATAATATGACAAAAGCAAATACGAAAAACCACGAAATATTGAACAATGATAATGTAACGAACATATTCAAGTCTAATTTAGATAATCATTTCTTTTTACCGTTCAGAAAAGAAGAAACTATCGTTGTTTAATAATTTTACGTAGGATAATGCCCTCATTAGAAAGAGATGATATTAAAATGAAATAGAAGATTCTTCTGATTACACGAACATGATATAAACCGTCGATATGGTATTAGTGTCATAAAAAAAAACCGGTGTAACATTATATGATGCACGAATAATTAATAAGCGGTAGTGATAGTACGTAACATAGCTTAAGAAAAAAACAGAAGAAGAAACAAATCCATAAATTCATAATGACATTATTGATCCATTCTTTTCTCCACCTCTCATTTTATTTTGATTCTCCCGAGTATCTCATGCATGATGAAATAGTTAAGTATTTTCTTTAAAAAGAAATGTAGGAAAATATCTTTTAATAACTAAAAGGTTTCATTGCCCTTCAATAGAGATATTTAGTCTGTAATAGAATGAAACAAAAAGAAGAGAGAGAAAAAAAATCAACTGAAGATTTTATAGTGACAAATCTGTATGTTAAAAATACAAACATTAAGAAAGACAAAGAAAACGAGCAGAATACATGAGAACAGTTAGAAAGATACGACTATAAATAATCTATCTCATCCGATACATGAATCTTTATAAACATCCGCCTCTAGTGAAATCCCAATGAGTTTTCTGACAGGATCCGAAACATATCCTACCAGTATCCTACTAGGATTTCGCTTAAGTTTGTTTCGGATTCTCACAGATCCTACAGAATCATAATGAAATCAGGCATACCCGAAAGTCATAGGATTTTCTATGATTCTGTTAGGATCCTAAACAAACTTAAGCGAAATTCTAGTGGGATCCTGCTAGGTAGTTTTTAGGTGACTCTTAAATGTTAGGATCCTGTAAGATCCTAGTGGCGAATAGACCGAAAGTGCGTAGGATTTTGACTAGGGATATTTTTCTCTTTATAATATTTTCTCTCGGAAGTATTCCCTAGACATCATTGAGATCGTGTTTAAAGCACGCTATACATTTTGTTCGTATCAACAAATTTTGATGATTAAACATTTCTTGCTGCCGTTTAGGCTTGAATTTCTCTCTTCATAAAGCTGAATAATTGAATAAAATAACGGGAAAATTTTTTTTCAGAACAACCACCTCGACTCAAAAGGAGCTGGCCCATTTTCCAGAGGCTACAGCGAATCATCTTAGCTATTTATTTTATCAATGAATACTGACTATCTTAACTAATATCTCAATTATTCTAGACGCCAAAATATAAGACCAGTGGTTGATTTTTTGAATAACTGAAAGACGGTAAAAGATAGAGACTTATAGTATTTAGCAGTCGAAAGGGAACAGTTTAGCCGAACCGTTTTTCGAAAATATTTGGAAGATCCGTTTTCTAAGAGATCTTTAGAATGCCAACTCGACTCAATACGACTTTTTATTTGAGAATAGTAAAAACATTCGTGTACTTAACAAGATTTCTGGAAAAATTTTTCAAAAATCAAAGTGTTTTCTGTTGAGCATTTATTGAACTGCATAGTGTGAAGCAGATAATAAAGAGTATGTCTTTATATTCTGACATAATTTGGACAGACAGTTCGCTTAGTTTTCATTTTGGAGAGGACACTTTGGACTATATGTCTATGAAAAAAACGGATAGATTGCTATCTCTGCTTCTGGAGACCTAAAGTGGTTTTCCAAAGATCTCCTAGAAAACGGGCCTTCAAAATATTTTCGGAAAGTGATTTTACTTACGAAAATATAGGCTAAACTGTTCCCTTTCGATTGCTAAATACTGCCAGTCTCTATCTTTAACAACCTTTTTTAGCTGCCGCTGCCGAAGGCGGAAAATCTCGTGGGAGGGCTCCGCCGTCGTCACCGATTGGAAAACTTTTGTTACATACCATCACCAATTTTCCGATCGGTGCACAGGTCTATACATGAATAAGAGTCAATATTTTTACTGAATACTCTAATAACTGGAACTATCAAAGTAACAAGTATGAAAAAGTTAAAATTTGTATATGGAATGGGACATTTATCCTAAACATATTGGAAAGACAAAAATAAGCTAAAGCAAAATGCATTTTTTTGACATACCAGGTTTATTGAAACAAGGCTAAGAGAAGAGTTAATTAAAACTGTCTAACAATGCTTCTCTAGATTCGTTATAACATTTTAATTCAAATGTACCGATGAACAATTGATACAATCGCTGTTAGAGTAATATTTCAATCTGCTTTATCTTGAGGGTATCCCCCGTGGAGATATACGCATCACCACAGATGCCCTAAAAAACAGAGCTCTATGTACAATATGTGTTTTGCTCACTATGCGTTTTTTCCATAGTCCCTTCAGTTATTCAGATACCACGCCAAATCACTCAAAATCAAAGTCTCGCTTGGTTCCCATTTTGAAGAGGACACTCTAGGCTATTCACTTATAAAAAATCCAACCTGTTGCTACTTATCGTTTAGTGTTACAAAACGGTTTTCTAGAGTTCTCCTAGAAAACTCGTCATTAAGAAATACTTTCAACTTTGTTTTAGCTACAAAAAAACTTAGTTTAAAGTCCTATTAGAAGTACTCTCGGTGGAACTCGCACATAGGATAGTGAATAGCCTAAAGTGTCCTCTTCAAAATCGGAACCAAGCGAGACTTTGATTTTGAGTGATTTGGCCGTGGTATCTGAATTCCATGAAGCCCCAGGACTGCCACTCAGTGGCTTCCAGTAACCTAGAAAGAGCAAGACTGACATAAAGTAAAATAAAATACACGCTGCTATCAAATTTAGTTCGAAAAACTTTTCGTTCCACAAAAACATCGTGCAGGGAAAAAATTGTTTTCTACCATTTCAGTTTTTCAAAAACATTTTTAATTCCACTTTATAATATTTTCAGGTAGACACTATTATACTTTTTCTTTGATCATATTTCTTGACCTACACAACAAAAAGAACGTAATTTCTTTTTCTACCGGAATTACTCTTTGACGAATTCGTCAATTCACAAGGAGGAACTGCGTAGTTTGTCTCTATAACTGGTTTCCGAAATTATGTCCTGTTTTTACCTTGCAAGGAAATGAGAGCTTGTTACAGGCTTATGACCTTTCACGTGTCAGATATGTGATCATCATTCACATTCATTCTCTTTGATCTCTATAATTCTCTCTGTTCACACAGACATAGAGTACTTCGGGGTAATTAGAGGCACTCTTCGAAAGTTTCTTCCTTTTTTTGCTATTTTTTGGCCGTTTTTGATCGGAAAAAGTTGCTATTGAACATGATGGTACACGAAACATTTTTCTACACGCTCATGTAAAAATCTTTTCAAAACCTCCGGCCAATTTTGAGCCAGATCCAAAATGCGAAGAGCTCCGTCAGAGTGCCTCTAATTACCCCGTACGGGGTAATTAGAGGCACTTCACTTATACGCTTGGGGTAAATAGAGGCACTCCCTTCAAATACATGGAGTTTTAATGTACAATTGCTGATTAATTAAGCTTAGGAGATAATTAGTTCAAAAATACCTCATTTTGTAGCCCAGATCTTCCTCTCTCTATCATATAGTTTTCAGTTCATCATCATTTAAACTCATTAAGCTAATTAGCATATAATCAACAGCACTAGAATTTCTTTTTCTTTTCTTTTTATGCTTTGGGGTAAATAGAGGCACTCGTGTAATT